TTTTGAAATTATGTTCTAAATGATCTAATTTTTGCAAAAATAAAGTTTTTACAAAAAAAATTTTTTTTGCCCATAGCTACCTTTTGCTGTGGGGCCCCCTATATAATACATCATATATACAATCATATAAGACTCAACTATCATAAAACTACTCCAGTACAGGGACCTTATAAAATTTTAAAAAAAAATTAGAAAACAATAAATTACAATTTTTATTGAATATTATTAACATCTTTATTAATGTCTTTAAACAATATACTACAAATCATGATATACTAATTTGCTATATTAGTGTGATTTTTATTAGTTTTTTTTCTGTTTTGGCTTGATTATCTAATTATACAAGCTATTTTAAGCAAAAAAATGGCTAAAAAGTAAATTCTATATTTCACAAACTTGAAAGTATCTACTATAGTATATTATTGTTTTTGCACTTGTATTATGAATTTATTTTTTGCTATTATTGTTGTTATTGTGCAGTGACCAAAAAATTTGAAAAATGAAACTTATTAAAATCTAATAAATGTACTACTAAATATTAATTGATAATCTATTTGTTACCTGGAGGGGATCTGCAAAATTTTATAAGTAAAATTTACTATTGGTCCAAATGTGGTATAAAGCTTTTTTTTATACTAAGTTAATCACTTTTCTAACTTAAAAGACTTTTGTAGAGCTTGTCAAGGTGCATCTAATGGTAGTTAGAGTGTCAAAATCGGCTTTGTGGATGCCGAGATATTTTTAAAAAACATTTCTTTTACTATATAATTGTTTGCAAAGAAGTTTATATAGTAAAAAAAAACGTTTTTTAAAGATATCTTGGCACCCACCAAGCCGATTTTGATGCTCTAACTACCATTAGATGCGCCTTGACAAGCTCTACAAAAGTCTTTTAAGTTATAAAAGTGATTAACTTAGTATAAAAAAAGTTTTAGATGCGTACATGCACATTTGAGCCAATAGTAAATTTTACTTATAAAATTTTGCAGATCCCCTCCAGGTAACAAATGAATTATCAATTAAGAAAAATATTATTTTTATTTTAGATTTATATAGATAATTGTATTGTTTTTTCCCTTTTAGTGAAATTTCTGATCAAAATTTTTGCTGTTCTGATTATTTGATAATCTTTTTTATTTTCACTATGATATAAATAGATACATGTTATTATTTTTTAATTACTACCAAATAAGATTGTATTATTATATCACATCACATTCTTTCTACTAAATAGTTTTTTTTTTCTTTACTTCATTATTGACTTTAACTATTTATAAAAAGTACCTGTAAGCAATATTTTATATCAGTTATACAATTTGTTACACAGATCATGTGTATAAATTTTTTAATTTTAAATTAAATGATTGATGCACCTAAATTTTATAAGTAAATTTTAAGCAAATTTTGTCTTTTTAGCTTATTTAGCAAGAAGAAGCTGTTAGTTTATTTTCTGAATCTGAGTTTGTAAATTCTCTAGCATTTGAAGCACATTTTTATAAAATTTTAAGGGTGGTTTATAATAAAACTTTAAATAATCTTGTTTATGAAGTTAGCCAATTTTTGATGATTTTACTATTTGTTTATAAATAATACACATTATTTTACTAAAATAGGAGGATGTCTAAAGCAGAGACAAATTATGTGATCAACATCTAATAAAATTATAGAGTTTTGCTGATCACTGGCAAAGCAAAGTAAGAAATAAAAACAAAAACCTGAAAAATACAAAAATAGTAGTCTAAACCTACTTTAGATAAGTTAATTAAAAATATCAAGAAGACAATTTTGTTTATATATAGCTATTAAAAACCTAATCTAACCCTAATATAGAATGCTCCTAACTTTAAAATTAATTGAAAAAATTATTAAATATGAGTTGTCTTCACTTTAGACATTCCCAAAATTGATAATCAGATCTGTCAATTTAGTAATTACCTATTTTGGTAAAATGATGTAAAAATTATTAACTTCATAGACCAGATGGGGTATCCTGTATTAAAAGAGACTATTTTGCAATTTTTTTAAAAATGAGTTTTTATTAGATTTATGTAAACTTTGACACAATTGACATTTTCAATTATAAATGAAAGTCGATTTGTATAATGAAAAATAGAGATAATGTAAAAGAAAAATTACACAAGGCTTTCTAAGGCAAAGCACATCACGAGATTACTCGATAGTTATCTATTGCCTTTAACCAATCAAAATCGTAAAATTGATTAATTTCAGATCAGTTCGAAAATCAAAACAAATGATTAAACTCAATTATCTCAAAATGAGATAGATATCAAAATAGTTTCTTTTAATACGAGGCACCCTAGATTATTTAAGGTTTTATTACAAACCACCCTTAAAATTTTATGAGAAGATACTTCAAATACTAGAGAATTCATAAACTCAGACTCGGAACTTAAACTGATAGCTTCTTCTTGCTAAATAAGTTAAAAAACCAAAATTTGTCTAAATTTTACTTATAAAATTTAGGTGCATTAATCATTTGACTCATAATTAAAAAATTTACATATGACAAATCATGTGACTGATATTTGAAAAAAATATTTCATACTCAGATATATCAAATCAATATACAGTATATAAAACTTTTTCATTTTAAAACTGCACACTATTCTAAAAATTTTTAGACCGGTGAATATAAAATAGATAAAATAAATTCTTAAAATATTTAAAATTTCCAGTTTTTACTATGACAATTATTTTTATAAAAGAAAAAAAAAAATTTATAATTTAGCTTATTTGATATTCAAGCTTATGTGGCTAGTTAGCGTATCCCTCAGTCTCTGGGCTAACTCCCCAATATCATATAACCGAAAATCCAAGCCAAGAACAGGATTTATTAGACAACTAGGGAGCTAGAGGAAAAATTCAGTCAAGCCCAGTCTTGAACCCATGGTTATTTGAGTAGCAATATAGTGCAATAACCCATTATGACACATCATAATAAACTAAAATTTTTTAAATTTATTTTTTTAAAAACATTATTTAGTGCTATAATAAAAAAAATTTTTTTATATATGTATGTATGATATTGATCTACATATCAGTTGATCAAGATATCACACCTAATTTTTTATCATATAATTTTTATAAATTATACAAATCAATGAAATCACGTTTTTAAAAATTTTTCCTCAAGTCTTAGTTACAACACAACATTTTTTAAGACAAATAGGTTGCCAGAGCTTCAACAAAACAAATGGCATAAAAAATATAAAAAACTAGCATTACCAGGTAATGTAAGACCCCTTCAAAAATGGGCAATTGTTTTACTTTCTTTCGCAAAATTCTTTTGGAGTTTTTAAGATCTTGACATAAAAAATGACTTGTTAGATGCACATGGGTGAGAACTTTCTGTTTGAACAAAGAGTATCTTATAAAATTATAGAATAAATTAAGAAAAACCATTTTGCAGTATATAGATTGCAATTTTCTAATAAGGTTTTTTTTTTAATATATAGCAACCTATATTTACGGTAAAATTATATTCTAATATTTGCACATTTGCTGTGTTGTAATTTATTGCATGAACAATGCTTTACAAGAATTCATAGATAATAGGGCCTGGTGCTAAGAAAGAGAACAAATTTGACAAAAAAAACAAACACAAAAAATCAATTATCTCATGAACCATTGATCAGAATTATATAATTTGGTACCATTCAACTCATCTCAATGAGATGAATCGAACAGTACCAAAATTATATAATTCTGATCAATGGTTCATAAGATAATTGATTTTTTGTATCTGTTTTTTTTGTTCTTATCTACTGTATATGATTAGTACATTAGCTTTATTTTTAATAAAAAACCAAAATTTATATACTGTGGCCTTTTATTAATTCAATTAATACAGTAATACATGTTTCATATAGTACAACTAAACTATTTTCTAATGAGCCTAATTATAGTAATAATTTTTTTTGGTTAAATCTTTTGATTCAATACATAGTTTGTCTCTAACAATAAAACATAATTACACTATTTTAATACTTCGTTCTTTTTTTGTTAAAATGCTTTTAAAATCGAAGTAAAGTTGTTAAAGAATATTTATATTACATAAAATACCTTCATAAATCAGCAAAATAAGATCTATTTTACTGCATGTTATAAAATATAAAACAAAAGGCTATCTTTGTGAGCAAGATTCTTTTGAGTTTACTTTTTTATCTTGGTTTAAACTTACTCATCGCATAATATTTAACTTTCTAAACACTCACTGCATCCTGTGAGTGTAGTTTCCTTTTAAGAAACCCCTGAAAACAATGATTGAAAATGGTTAACCGTTGCAATTTACTATGAAAATCGGATTTTTTATGAGTGTCGATCACTCAAATTTCATAGTAAAAATTTATTCACCTGATCTGCGTGACATCTCGATCGACTGATATTGTATAAATTCTATTCTTGATATCAACATATAAATAAAACTACTATCTGCATCACCCTAACGTACCTGGCATTAAAGTTCCCCAAATCGGGGCACATAGCGATAGCGATAATGCACTCCTTGCTGTATCTGTATCAGTATAAATTGCCAATTTGTGTAATCATAAAATTTTAGCGGTTTTCGAGAATTATGTCTTTTACGAGGAGTAAGTATTATCTTTATAAGATATTTTTTTTAATGTCTTTGTCTTATGATATTGGTTCAACTTTTAGAAAGTATTTTTGCATGCGCGCCAGCCACCACCCGTGGTGAGGCCATTCAGTTGGGCTCTGATCCAAAAGGAGAAAACTTTTTGTATGCGAATGGAAAAACTGTTATTATTCGTAATTTTGCTGTAAGTATCGTGAGTGATTCTCGTAAATCAGTCGCGATTGACTACATAAAATTAATTTCTTGGTTCTCGAGTTTTGCGAGCTATAGAAAAATTTTCATATATAATTTATGAAAACTAAAATATTAACTTAATGTGCTCCCTAATTTTGTTATTTATCGAACAGAACCCAACTATAGCGACTGAATATACTGGGCATTCTGCGCATGCTACAGTGGCACGTTATTCGCCAAGTGGATACTACGTAGCTTCTGGCGGTAAAGTGACATAATTATTATAAAATCATTTTTTCGTTGCATTCTTTCATTGCATAATATTTTTACGCATTACATTAGATATACATGGCAATGTTCGTATATGGGATGTCACTCAAGAAGAAAATATTCTAAAGAATGAGGTTAAAGTTATTTCTGGAAAAATCAGTGATATTGCTTGGGATTCTGAGAGTAAAAGATTGATAGCTGTTGGTAGTGGTAAAGAACGGTATACTGTATAATTTTTATATACTTTGTATTTCACTATATTTATTCGTATTGAAATTTGATAAATTTTAATTTATTAATAAATCGTTAGATATGGCCGTGCATTTTTGTTTGATACCGGATCTTCTGTCGGAGAAATAAGTGGTCATACCAAACCAATTAACAGTGTCAGTATTCGCCAACAACGCCCATTCCGTGCTGCAACAGCATCTGATGACTTTTCTGTAATATTCTTACATGGGGTACCGTATAAACATAACTTAACCATAAGGGATCACACAGCATTTGTTCAGGGTGTAAAATTTTCTCCTGATGGTGAAAGACTGGTGTCAGTAGGGTCAGATAAAAAGGTATCTTATTCTTTAGTAATACAATTTATATTAATACTTTAACTTATTGTCATGGCTTAATAAATTGTGAAGGTGTTTTTATACGATGGGAAAACTGGTAGCAAAGTATTGTGTCTTTCAGATATCGTTGCAGATGATTCTCACAAAGGTACTATTTTTGCCGTCTCCTGGTCACCCGATAGTAAACAACTTCTCACCTCGTCTGGTGATAAGACCGCAAAAATCTGGGATATTGAATCCCAAAAAGTCGTACAGTAAGTTCAATTATAAACAAGTATATATACCGTTTAGCACTGTATAAAGTATCCCCCTCGAATAATATCCTACCACATAAAGTATCCCCTTCTCCACCAATGAAATTGCTGGATTCGTGAATAGTACCCGGTACTATTCAATTTTAAAAATGGTGTTCTTGAATAAGACCCCGGGTACTGTATACAGTGCTAAACGGTATGTGTGTGTGTATTGCTTTTTTAAATTATGTCTTTTAGGACTTTCTGCTTTTCGGATACCATTGATGACCAGCAAGTTGGTAATATTTGGCAAGGCGAAAATATCATTAGCCTGTCACTATCTGGGGATATCAACTATCTTGATACGAAATCACCTTCACCTGTAAAGGTGGTTAAAGTAAGTTATATTTTTATGATCGATTATATTGTGATTTACAACTAATCACGATTCATTTTGTGATGTATAGGGTCACCAAAAAGCAATTACTGCATTCACGCGAAGCGAAGATTCTACATTATTTACAGGAAGTTATGATGGACGTATTTATATCCTTTTAAAATTAAAACAAGAGAATTCATTCAATTTTGATATATCTTTAAAAGTTGTATATTATTTTAACAAATACCACACATGCATGGAATACTGACGGCAGTGCCACTGTAGTGGGTGGCAATAGCCATACAAACTCAGTTACTCAGTTATCTTCTCAAGGGAATAAAGTAGTTTCTGTTGGCATGGATGATACTGTAAGAATGATTGATGTTGATGTAAAATCATTCAGGTAACTAAAAAAAAAAAATTCAAGTCTTTTTTATAAACAGCAGAAAGTATAAATGATTATTCATTTCTTATTACAGTACACCTGTCGTTCCAACCGGTGCTTTACCGAAAGGTGTCGCAGTTACTGAAAATAAGATAATAATTGCTACTATAAATGATATACAACTTATCAGTAATGATAAGTGCATATCCAATATTAAAGTATCATCCCCTCCTGGTGCCATTGCTATCAATCCTACATCCACAGAAATTGCTGTCGGTTGCGAAGTATGAAAATTCAGTATCATATTATATACTTTGATATAGATAGCATTTGTATAAAAGAAAATATTTATTAAACCTTATAGGATCAAAAAGTCCGAATATATAAGTTGAATGAGGATAAATTTGAGGAGCAAGGGGATAAATTATCGTCTGGTAGAGGAGCTATCACAGCTATCGCGTATTCTCCTAATGGTTCCTTACTTGCTGTTGGAGATTCTCAAGGAAAAATTTATGTATATGATACTGGGAGCAAAGAGGTGAATTATAATCTTAATAATATTTACCCATCTCTTTCGTAAAAAAAAAAAATTTGATGTATTTTATTTCTTTAAGGTCAAGATTTCAGAGTGGTGCTTCCATACTGCTCGTATCTATTCTATTGCTTGGTCACCAGATAGTCTTCATTTAGTCAGTGGATCTCTGGATACTAATATTTATGTATGGAGTGTCGAAAAGCCATCAAGTCGTATTGCTATTAAAGGTAATTGATAACTTCATTGCAGCATGTTATTGCCTAAAAATGTCACGACAGGGTGGAACCCGCGCTGCCAGTTAGTAAAATCCGCACAGCGCTGATTTCACCCTGTCAAAATAAAAGCTGCACCAAAACTTTGAGCGAAGATATCTCGATAACCACCTGACTAAATTCGATGAATTTTTATTTGAATTCTGTGGATCCATAGAATTCAAACAAAAAAAATTTCATCGAATTTTGGTCAGGTGGTTGTCGAGATATCTTAGCTCAAAGTTTTAAAATAATTCGGCATAGCTTTATTTAGATAGGCATTCTGATTTTTTCTAAAACTTTGAGCGAAGATATCTCGACAACCATCTGGCCAAATTTAATGAAAGTTTTTTTTTATTTTAATTCTATAGATAACCACCTGACCAAATTCAATGAAAATTTTTTATTTTAATTCTATAGATTTATAGAAATCAAATAAAAAAAATTCATCGAATTTAGTCAGGTGGTTGTCAGATATCTTCGTTCAAAGTTTTTTAAAAAAAATTTGGCACAGCTTCTATTCAGATAGACGGTTTGATTTTTCTAAACCTTTGAGCAAAAATATCTCAACAACTACCTGATCATTCGATGAAATTTTTTTTATTTGAATTCTATGGATTCACAGAATTCATCAAATTTAGTCAGATGGTTATCGAGATATCTTCGCTCAAAATTTGGTGCAGCTTTTATTTTGACAGGGTGAAATCCACACTGCAGCGGGCTTCACTCTGTCGTAAAATATTTAATTTATTTGGTTTATTTGTTTCGGTTTGGGGATTTTATATTAAATTTTATTTTAAATAAAAGGTGCACATCAGGTTAGTGTATCTGGAGTAACATTTTTAGACAATAATACGGTATCTTCGGTTGGACAAGACGCATGCTTGAAAACTTGGGCACTTCAACACCCTTAAACGGAATACTTCTGGTTTAATAATAAAACCTATTGGCATACTTTATTGAATATATGTGTGATAAGGGTAATAACAGATATTACTGGGGGTCTTCGATATCTTATGTTAGATATATAAATTTATAATAGCCAATCAAAATTTCTCTTACGTGGGGGGGGGAGAGGGTATAGTAAAAAAATATTACGTAATATCTGTTACTATCCTAAATATATTTAATATTTATTTTAAACATTCGTGATTTTGTAAATTTATTTGCACTTAAATTTTAGCTGGTTATTAGTTTTCTTATAAAGTAACAGATGTATCCAGAAATTAACATATAACTACAAATGATGACTCACCACGCCTATGTGATTTTATTACTCATTATTTAAATAAAATGTAAAGTTTTTGCCGAGCAATTTTCGCCAAATTGGCTTAATGATGTTTACTAATTTTATCAAACTTTTTCACCAAAATTATATTTCTGACCAATCATACTATATCATTCACAGGGTCAATATCAGTGTACCGTATTTGCGCGTAATAATGCACATAGGCGTTATTTCGAAACTCTTTTAAAAAAATTTTTTTTGACTCAAAATAACGCCCGTGCGCGTCCCAAAATAACGCGCCCCTTAAATATACCATACAGTATTTACGCGTAATAACGCACATGGGCGTTATTTCGAAACTCTCATTATTTTAAAATTTTGTTTTTTTAACTCAAAATAACGCCCATGCGCGTCCCAAAATAACGCGCCCCTTAAATATACCATATTACATATTTGATCGAATTTTTCAGGCTAAGTTCGTTAATAAAAGTAGGGCTTCCTCTTGTAACCCCAAATTAGTCAACATGCGCGTCCCGAAATAACGCAAAGGGTCTCAAAATAACGCGCACCTACGCGTTATTACGCGTAAATACGGTATAGCATAAAAATTGATTGTTTCTACTTAACTTTCTAGATCCTATTTGGATATTAATCTACAGAAATGTAAATGGATGAATTGAGAAGCATGACCACAATAATTTAATAAACCCAACACCAAATGCAACACCAATTTAGAAATACCAAATAGATCAATATGAGAATACTGAAATATCTTAGAAAGGATGTTTGAAATATAATAAAATTGTTACCGTCTCCTTTGAGAGAGGTTTAAAGGTAGTTGATCATTAAAAGATAACATAATTTACTGTAAACTCTTTTAAATCTAATAACGTGAATAACTTGCCAAATTTTTTTATTAGAGATTATAAGATCAAAAAAATAACTAACACAATGACAAAATTAATGGATTTAGATATGCGTTACGGTGTAAATTACTAATAAAAATTATATTCAAGCTAAATTTTAAAATAGTTTCTAATGAACACAATTTATTAATTGCTAAAATTAATTCCTCACACTTATGGGTTTTTAAAAATTTTTAAATAAAAATTCAGATACTTTATCAGCAAAATGTTCAATTGGAACTCTTATCCTAATCTCTTTTTCAAAAAATACATTCATAAGTTCTTCTAATTCATCAGGTGAAAATTGAGCATGCAATTTTTTAAATGCAACCATATAAAGATCTAATAAAGTAGATAAATATTAAAATACTAAAATTATGTTTAAAAAAGCAATGATAATCAATTCTTATTACACCAACCCTTTGACCATGGACATTCTCTTACGGCTCTATAGTATATAGTCTTGGCTTTACTCATTTCTCCATTTTTAATTTCAAAATTTATGTATAAAATCCATAATGCTATAGAATTTCTTGTTCTATACGAAAAATAAAAATTTAATTAATATCATGCATTGTATCATACATTGTCAAAGACAAAAAGGAAGTGAAATAAATAAATACGTGGGGCACATCAGTGCTTTGTCGAATGTTGTTCGAACACGATTAATATCGTATGATTGTTGGTGATGTAATTCCATATATATTGCAGTAGTCCATAAAATATAACTTGGTTTCCTAAAAAAAAAAGGGAAAAAAATCTCAATAATACCAATAATTAATGAGTAACTAAATACATATAGATGTTTAATATACTTTTGTAAAGCCTCATTTAAAATTGAATTTAATCCATGGGGTATCCTCCCACGAACTTCTTCATGGAAATACAATGATAAAAATATAGTATTGTTTGGAAATATACGTAATGCCCTTGAAAGAATCTCTTGTAATAATTTTCCAGGTTCATTATCTGATACAGATACAAACTTTTCAGAGAATGAATGTTGATAAATTAATTTTACATAAGTGTTAATTTAGTTAAGGGTATTAATATTTGATATATGATAATTTATTTGTAATCGACACGAAAAAAAGGATATGACATATATAACCATTCTGTCTCCACATTAACATTATCATTCCTAATTTCTAGATAATGTAACGTGTCTTCAAATACTTTGCTTGCTTGCTGTAAATTCTGACTAAGACATTCTAATAATGCATAACATACACAATAATGTAGTGAATTACGTGCTTCAATCTGTGAAGTTGAAGGTGTTGTAATTCGCGCTATTTGTTGTGCATAATACTAAATATTTCGCAACAAAAAAATAAAAAATTGAATTAAAGCTGAATTTAAAATTAAATAGTCATGAAAGCTGTTGATAATATTAACATTTTTCTGAAAATCACCTTTCGGGCCCTCAGTAACTTTGTGATAGGGACATCTGATTCGGATATCGAATCTATTGAAAAAGCGTATTTTCAAATGTCAAACTAACGAATAAAGTTATAGTCAACTCGTGATTTATTAACATACCTATCGTCCCCTGTTCTTCAGTCAAGTTTATGAGAATATCTATAAATGTGAAGTAAAGGAATAAAAGACAAATAAATCTCTAAACAGAAATAAAACTTCAACACAAAAAGGATACTAATTGCAGTCTTTTGACGGCCTTGTTCTATTTCCATTTCAGCGAACGATCGATGCAATAGTGGTGCCACAGCACGGTACTGTTCAGGAAATGTACGATATTGTGTAATAGCGCCCAAGTAAACCTTACGTGCCTTAAATTCGCGTAAATTAAATCAATATCACGATACCCATTTATAAAAATCCAAATAAAAAATATATGAAATATAAAGTATACCTCAGAAATATTATTTGAAGATTTTTCTACTTGCGCATAACCATTCCAAAGTGAAAGATTCATAGTGTCACGTTTGAGCAAGTTCTTTGCAAGATTCCGCCCACTAAAGTAATTTATATAAATTGAGCAAAAATTAAAATTTATAAATAGAAATATGCTTAGGATTCAATACCTTGACGCGTCATAAAGATATTCAAGTGATAGACGACATAGTTTTATCTCTGTATCGTTTACAATCTGTCGTAATTGATAAAAAGCATTCCTGAATAATCAAGATATAAAATTAGCATCAGATTGCTACAATATTTATCAAAGAATTGCCAAATAACAATTAACCTAGAAAAATTCATATTGACATCCAATATATCAACATCATTGCAAATAGAGAACCAAGTTTGCGAATTGAACAATGTAACGTCATCCTGAGGGAAGGCTTTTATTGGAAATATAAATGTACGAGTAACAGATCTATCCGTAGACCAAAAGCTGACGTTTTCAATTGATTCATTTGAAAGTTTATTGTATAGGAACGTGTCTGTAATCATCGGATTCGATGATGAATATCCAGGATTATACGTCAAGCCAGTAAAGGCAAGACAAGCATATATAAGCTCAGTACGTGATTGATGAGACGTTAAGTCAAACAAGAACGTGCGGATATCGTCAAATAAGACTACACGATAAGGATCCTCTAAATTGGGATCATCGACTTGAAAAAAAAAAGATTATTTAATAATCTGGTATAGAATAATGTAAAATAATAAATTATCAATACTTTTAAAGACGTACTTGAATGCGTAGGGAGCAATTGAGAGTTATAAAGAATCTCGGCTTTAGCCCATTTTGCGTACATATCACCTATAGAATAATCAATTAACGAGATATAAAATAAGAATCTTATGATGAATTATATATAATATTGCTAACCCTCAGATGATAAATTCGCTAAAAGATTAGAGGCATCCGCAGGAGATTCAACATTTTCAATGTCTTAAAAAAAAATATAAATATATATATGTTATCATCTAGAACGATTAATGATTTCATAGAAAATAATAAGCTTTATACTAAAATATACTTTGCTCAAAGTAGTAAGACCACCCTTTGGCATCCTATTAACAGTATATATAATATTTAATAATACATTAATTAAATGTGTACTGAAAAAAAAAAACACTAATTGAATATCAATTATACATCTTCGCCAAAACGAGGTAATTCTGCTTCCCAGAAATTTTCAAAAGCAACTACACGATCGTAGAAATCTTTTTGTTGTATTCTCTTTGGAGCAAAAAATGTAAGTTCTATCATTGCTTGCCAACATGAATATGCTCTTTCACTGTAACCTAATTAAATTTTTGTTATAAAATGAACAAAAAATGTAAATGATGAATTACAACATTGAAAATAATATTCATACCTGATTGTAGCATAAAAAAACAAGCTCGTTGGAAGATATGTATCATTATCCGCTCAATTTTAAGTTTTTCTAAATGAGAAAAAAAATATAGAAAAATTCATAAATTAATATACATATATTTACTAAGTATTTATGAAAAAAAAAACCCACCACCGCTGTCTACACATACTACGAATTCCTTTCGAAGTAAATGCAAACAATCTTCAAAGACTTGAATGCATTGACTAACCGTAAAAGAAACAAGATTTGTTTGTCGAAAATCAAGATATTTCATCCAAAGATTAATATTTCTAGAATTCTCTTTGAGAACTTGATCTTATTTCGTGAGTAACTTTGGTATACTTATAAATATTTATAATTATACCTTTGTTAGAATGTACACATTTTTTTTTACAGAATGTATATGAATTTTAAACACATACTCCCAATGCTCTTCACAGCATTTCATGTAAGCAATAAGAAGAGTTGTATCATTCGGATTTGCCTCCAAGGCTTTCTCAAAGATACTAATTTTAACTTCATTGATGCTTGATCTTGTAATAGAAGCATCAGTCTTTTTATTTCTTCCAAATTGTAAACTTTTATCTTGAAATGCAATAAATTCAAGCCATAAGTTAACATCATTTTGATTCTATAAATTTTAAAGACACAAGAATTAGAAAAATGATCAAAATGTTAAATAATTATAATATCATTACCTGATCTAGTTGAATGTTAAATTCTTTGATCTTTTGCCTTATGGCATCTTCTGACATTTCTTCTTGTACCTCGGTTTCAGGTACCTGTTTCTCTTTACTCCCTCTTTTGCGTTTTTTGCTAAAATATAATTAAAGCTTTCTTAGTGCCTATCATATTATGATTATCTAGCAATTCGAGAAACGAACAGAAGAAGTTTAAGTTTACCTCTTAGAATCTTGCATCATATTGGCAGAGTCTAAAGATCCAATATCGACGCAAGATTTGCTTTTTAAATGAAGATCTCGTATCACCTTCCTTGTATGGGTAATTTAAAAATTGACCCTCCCTCTCGCAATCTTGACCAATCAAATTTCAAGGTCAGGTGTAATGTAAAAAATCGAAACGAAAACAAGTAAACTTCCTAATCCTAGCCCTAACTGTAATGCAGTTTTATTGACTAATTTTTTTACAGGGGTAGTGGGTACACTACCTAAAATAAATATTCATTTCGTTCGCGTTAATTTAGTCGGTGAATATAAAGAACATTTGTTAATATAAGTATTTAATTTCATTTTTAGTCATATTAATTTAGTGGGTGAATATAAAGAATATTTATTGGATAATCTAAGCATCTAAAATAAACTATTCAAGTTCGCGAATGTTTGTAATTTCATTTAATTTAGCGGATAGTATAAACATTTATTAGTTTAAGTATATAGTTCATGAATATTTTTAATTCGTTAAGTTAATTAGTCGGTAAACATAAAGTTATTTGCATTAATAATTTAATAATCGCATAAGTCATATGAATAAATACGAAACATAATGCAATTTTGATTATTATAAAGAAATCTTGGCTATAGAAAATGTGAGCGTTGTAATGAATATAACATGTGACCCTAATATAAGAATTCAATGATGACAAATAGAAATAAAGAAATTGACGATTGTTTGTACAAAAGGTTTCCAGTGCTTATGAACATATGATTGAATGAATTCCTTTGACAGACTAAATTAAAAAAATTGGCGAAGATTTAGTTGGGAGTAATCATACAAGAGTATGCAAACTATCTAGCACCTTTGCACTCAAAACTTTATCTGGTTCCAAGAAAATTACGATTTTTTGAAGTAGTTAAATTATTATTCACTGTATAGTTTATTAAACACATAGATATTAAACTAATTCATTTATATAAATTTATAAAGTTTGACAATAATATGAAATGTAGATTGTACAGCAGCAGTCTAATGGCATACGAATTAACTCAAAACATAAACGAACAATACTTGATGATATTTCGATAGGCTGATAATGGAAGCCTTAAAAAATTTTTAATGAAATCCATCGTAGACGTCTTAAATTAACGCTCAAGATTTTTATAACATAATACAGTAATATGAAAAACAAAACTGGATCAATACAATGAGTCGGCAAAATTTTGGATGTTGGAATATGAACAATTTAGGAAAAGTTTATTATGACGGTTTGCAAAAAGGTATGACCCTGTGATTTCGTGATGATGATAGCGGAAAAATTTTGAGATTTTAATTTCCTATTATCTTATTGCGTTTTGCAAAAAAGATGTGACCTCTGCAGATCACAATGTCTTTCTTACCAATTTCAAATAAATATAAATATAACTGATCGAAAATATGAATTATCATAATAGACAATTTAGAATCTCGGAAATTTTCCTCGTTCATCATCATAAAAATCATGGGGCCACATCTTTTTGTAAAGCGCTATAATTTGATATTAAAGTTGTACGTCGAAATAGAATCTTCGTGAATTCCGAATTAGTTTATAGTTGTAACAGAATTCTAATTTAACTCGGTTAATTAAAGAATTCAAATAAGTGGAATTAAAATTAACAAAATTAATCAGCATCAAATCAAATTATTTTTATACAGTATAAATTAAATAAAGTTAGAATTCTTTGATAAACTTATTCACTAAAATGGCTGAATCGCAAGAATATTCACTTCTACGTATATCATAATGCATCCACAATGCATCTCACAATGCATTTGAAAGTTTATTAATTAAATTTCTTAACAGCAAATCAGCAATCGAATAACACAAGATTATGATTTCTGTATTAAAGTTTTACTGATTCATTAAATACAACGATTGGAACCATGAAAGATCGGTAACATCTAATTTACAAAATTATGAAACATCAACAAACATATTATTTCAACTTATCAAATTGATTTATATATTCTATACTTTTCAACATGATGTTTTAAACCATATTGTTTCTTCAAAACTATGTGATGCGATAAACTAACTATCTTTTGTAATTAGCGTTAGCATAATCTTCAAATCTAAGCTCAATTAAAATGTATAAAAAATATTAAAAAATAGCAAATTTAAAAATTTTGAAAATAACATTTTAAATGAATATAAAAAAAAATATTGATTTTAATAAATTTCGGATTATTCAAGTTATTAATAATAGAGGTTCGATTTATAAATACTAATATCTAATATCTTAGGTGAAAGGAATATTCTAATCTTCACATTAAATGAAATTCGTAAGAAAAGGATTTATTTTTAAAATAAATACGTCAAAGTTTGTGAATGGAGGGATAAATCAGTGATATTAAATCAGTGATATACTGGATATTGAATATATACAAATTTACTACTGTACTAGAAAGTATAACTTAAATCAGCAGCTTACACAATCGATCACATCAGTTATACTTTCCCAGTAAATCTCAGTTTATATTCAATTATATGATTAATGCGTACTAGGAACTGGTTAAGTTCGATATAACGATAACTTTAATGGATTTTTCAATGTATAAATTTTCAGGGACAACTACGTTTTAAAATCATTATTTCAATAATCAAAGTGCATAGAAATATGAGCCCTCTGTTTCGTTCCAGATCTTTACAGCATTAATTTGCGCAAGATACAATCGCTACTGATTTTGATAATTTACTTACGTATTTATTATGTTTTTTGTGTTTTGTATAACCAGCATATATTCTTTTAGAGGTTGCTGTAACGTGCGTATGTCATATGATGCGAACGTACATTATTTAAATATAGATTAGGATAGATTATTTGACCAAATGTACTACATTCAACATTTCAATAAAATTAATTCCTCTCATATCTAAAAATGTCAAATACAAAAGGCGATAACCCATCAGATATAATTAATGATCAATTGAACTTTATCGAATGTCAAAAATT